CGTAAACCCGGTGTTGAGTGGACCTGCTGCGATGGATGGTGGCGTAATCGTGCATAAAGATGAAGTTTTGCCGACGACTTCCACACAGAAACGAGAGAAGATCATTAAGAAAAGCATCCTGATTCTCACTGGGGTCCATTTGACACGAGACGAAAGACAGAGGGAGCACAGCATCGCTGTAGAATGCAGCTCAGACCATCTATGCGCCACCACCGAAGTTCTCCTGCTAAATACCAGCGGATCTTTGCTAAAATCTCTCCAGAATCTGTGATGACCATCCGGCCCGTCTAAGTTGAAGTTCTTTCAACCACAGAAAATGAACTGAACACTACAAGCCATTAACTAAACGTCATGATGAAAGTGTCTCCCTACCCCCGTAGAATCACCTACCGAACCCCAACTCGTTCGCATGTTCCTCCGGGCGAGTTCGAGACGAGGTGCTTTGTGATGCTGTTCCGGACGTGGAGTCTTCATCATGGATTGTCGCAACGATATTCAGTAAGAATTGGAAAGGGATCGTTTAATATGGCGGATATAATACTCAAGCAGAACACGTGACCTTTCAGGGATCTTTCCTTTCATGATAAGCTGGATTCCTCAAAAGAAATGTCGATACAGCTTTGAGAACGTCCAAGTTGAGCAGCAATGGAGCGATTTGAATGGGCAGCTCGATGTAACGTCCTCGCACGAACTTGCTCTTCCAAAGAAAACGTAGATCCACGAGATATATTGAAGACGTAATGTGTTTGTGCTAATTATGGCCAAAGAACTCCAAACGAGTTAACAGGAACAAAAATTTTTACCGCTGTTGCCTACTCGCCCGGGGTGGCTTTATACTTTTGAAACAGGGGAGTTTTTCAAATTTTCTTATGGAACCGTTTCTAGCTTATAGTGGTTTGTACAACAAAGTTTACTATAGTTTCAGAGCGTGCTGAATTCGATAAACTATTCATCAAATCACGGAACCTTCATTCTAACTTGGAACAGCTTCATTCAAGGGTGGCTTTATACTTTTGAAACGCACTGTAGGTCTGGGCGTTCGTTCGAATGTGACTGGATATGTGATTCGGGACCCGGCGAATGAGTAATTCCAAGTGTGCCCACAACAACCCTCGAGGGAAACGCATAACTGAGCTCCAAATTCTTGCCCGCGTGGCTTAATCATCAAGGGCTATTCCCCTGACCTCCTACGAGTAACGCTTGTTGCCTTGTACTGTTACTGGTGACATGCTGGACCGTTTACCTGCCGCCGACAAGACCACGTGCGATATATCGCAGAAGCGTGGTGCGATTATATAGCAATGCGCCCACTTGTGTCAGCGTGATGTAGCGAAACAAAACACTCACTGAGCTTCATATGTATCAATGCATGGCATGACATCACAATAAAAAGTACCTGTAAAGCTATTATAAAAAGATAAAAGTGGACTACGTGAAGGAAACTACGATAAGCTTTGAGTGCTATTATCACGAAAGGAAATAGATTACTATAAGCGGAGTAAACTCCCGTTCATTCCTGGCTAACTACCACCTGATAAGGAATACTACTAAATCGCTATTCGTGATGAATGGGGGAACCCTGAACGCAGTGATTATTACGGATTATGTACAAAGAGTAGGTATTTTCCTCCACATCAAACCAGAATCGAAAACCATGATTGGCTCATTGCATCGTCCGCCCTGTACTAATCGATTCCAGTAGGCCACAGGAGCAAGGGGGAACCACCTCTGAGGCCGAAGCGTTGCGACAGTAAGAGCGAAGCGATTTGGTCCCAGTCAACGATGCATCATGCAGTATGAATCTTATTTGGATTTCGCACGTAGATTTGAAGGCGGCATCCAGCCAGAGACTCTTCGTTATTAATAACAGTCAACGCCCAGTGTGACTGTGCGGCGTTGCGCATCCTCCCGAGCCCTGGCCTTGGAACACCTTTGGCGCGAGGCTGTGCGCAAGTTCAACGATAACATGAACGCCTTACTACCGCCTCCAACCCACGATTTATCCTCCAAAACGCCGCAGCTCTCGAGCTGGAGAGGGAAGGGCCATTAAAACATCACATGATGGAAAGCGAGGGACCAACTCACTTTGCCAAATCCTCACTTCGCTGTTTCATAATCTGAAGATTGTGAGTTCACCGAACGAATGCTTGCTTCCGCTTGTTGAGTAGCACTTCAGGAATATTTCGTCGCGAGAATGATACTCTTGAAGCAACAACCCCAGATCAAATTGGTGGGGTAAGAGTGGTCGATCATGAAAATGTGGATGCTAAACTGACTGAAAGAAGGAACCAAAGCGGTGAAATCCTCAACAAGGACTCCCTCTTTTTTCCTTCAAAATATGGAAGCGTTTTGTCTGGACGAGTTGTTTGGTTTTGCTTGCTCCATGGCTCCACCAACCCGCGCGTATTTGAATTAGACACGACGCGTAATCCACCACGTTGCGCATCATGGGATGTGCGCGAGGATTTCGTTCATTAGCCCCATTACCCGACATTAGGTCCCTTTATAAGGCCCTAGCGCCATTGTCGAGAGCGCCATTGCAACAACGGCACATCTGAGATACTCTAGATCTACATTATAGATTGTTTGTTCAGCACGGAAACCGATAAGAAAATGGAATCTAGCCTGAAAGGGCAAGCCAGATATTCGTAATCGATCAGGCCAAATTTGATAATTCTGGCAGCACCGCTCCGTATCGCAGCAGGTGTTGTGATTTTGCGCGCAACAGTGTGTGGCGCGAACTGGCACTCTTGTATGTGGCATCCGATATAAGATTAACTGAGAATGAAACGAAAATATTCACGACTGCAGTGTTGATTTCACCATCGATAGTAAGATCCGGCCGTGGTGGTGCATGACCTCCCTTTTTCAGCATATATAGCAGTTCTGAAATAACAACATGGATTAGATGCATTCGGGATTTCATCTGAAATTTCACTTTCTCACCATCAGTTCGTTCCTTGCGCTCGTGCAAATTCCATGCTGGCTTTCGTGTCACAACTTCTGAGGCGATTATAGCGAATGAGTAGATGTCGCCCTCCTTCGACGATTTCGAGGAGGTATCGGGAGACCGAAGATGTTCGGGAGCCACCCATAGCAGACCTTAGGCAAAGATTTGATCAAAATTCGAATATGTTATTGGCACTGCTTCTTGTCCAAGTCTAGTTGTAAATATAATACTATGTATGAATAAACTTGAGTCTGTTTGACTGACCCGATACACTTTTATAAGCGTCCCCAACAAGTATGTGATTAATGCTAGAAAATCGCCAAAGGAGGGCGGATCAAAGTTGCAATGGGTAGGGCGTGAGATATATCGTACGGTGCAAACGTGGGCCGCTGGAAGCTCTACCCATGGCGGTCGTGGGATGCTTTCAAATGGGCCATGCAGCGATAAAGCTGTGCGACTCAGTTTCAGAAAATCCCAGTGAACGGGCCAACTCAGGATGGGCAAAGCATGAGCCAGGCCATGTGAAACTCCGCCCACAATAAAAATTTGGCAAGTTTCCCTGCAACAAAATGCTATGCCTCCAGATAAAATTAGCAAAATTAGAGAAGAAGGCCGAACGCAAACTGAACTCCTTTCGCGATTCGAGTCACGATCACCTCACGAGTAAGCTCATCCTAGGCAGCCGTCTTTCACGCTCGCTATCGTGCGCAGCTAAACAGGTGCATGAAATACTATCTGCCAGAGCTAACAAGGATTACGATTTCCAAGGCGGATCTTCAGCGTATACTGA